GAGATGAATATTTTAGAGCTCTCTCTGCCTCTGTCGGTGAATAACCTTCCCAAAAGAGTGATACTGTCCAACACATTGCGATTCAGTACTACAATATTGCATTGGAACATATTAAAAGACAACTCTTCTAGTTTTCCCAATTGATCTTGCATTTCCGACGGTATTTAAAGGCATCAATTTACGCAGCATGGGGGACGTACCACGTACCAGTTGCCCATGACAACCGAGTTGGCTCTTTTACCCCTGTGTTTCTGTCTGTGTTACCGAGATGGGACCGAAGTAGACTGAAAATAGTATGGAATAAATGTGCAGATATATAAGTGATTTTCCTGCTCTCCTTTTTCAAATGTCAGTCTAAAAATATGATGCTACACCAGTATACAGCTAACTGTCATTCAGTTTGCATTTAGTCTGTGCTGTTCAGTCTAAATAAAACTTAGTTTCAGCAGCATGGTGTGAATACACATTTACACTGTTGATATAGGTATGAAGATTAGGTATATTTAGGCCTTCAATATCTCAGTTTGTCTTTGTCCTAAAGGTAAAATGCGCAAGAATAGTAGCCTAATATTCTGCAATGTAATGGCCAGATTCTGGATAAAAAACGCCCCTTGCTCTCCCTCCCTGCTACTATGGCCTTCCAGGACAAGAAGCTCCTGTGGTGCATGATAAGTAGGTTCTACTACTTGTCAAGTTTTGGCCAAAAATGCCTGTCTATAGAAGTTATCCTGCACACAACAGCAACCACTCTCTACTGTGTCTTCTTTGTCTCCCACCCACTGGTGTATTTCACACCATCACTCACCTTTGGCGGTTTCACAGTGGGCTCATGGAAGATTTTCAGTTTGTTCCCAGGAGATGATGATTACCTCTGAACTTGCTCCTAGCAAGGCTTTACCATCAGGGAGAGAAAGAGTTAATGAAGTCCTCATGAGTAGGACTGAGAGGCCCATCAGTGTATGGATAGGTGTGTAAAGGAGTGAATTTGCCAGTTAAGTAGTTAATCAAAGGGTGTAGCGTGCATTTAGCAGGATCTAGCAAAACAGACTAAAGAGTCAGGCAGAAATGGAATAAACTATTCTTAAATATGAAACACGCTGATTTGGCTCCTACACGTCTCGTACTATTGCATGCAAATTATAATTCTTGAGCATTTCAAGTTTTCTTATGCGAACAATAAAGGAAGAACAGCTGAAGTCAGACCCTATACCCAACGTCTGGAGATGGGGGTTGCTCTATTTGGGAATATATGAAAACTTGACCACATACGAGTACAACAAGGAGCGAAACTCTCATCTGCTAACAACCAGTGAGGTGTGTGACACTGGGTATAACGTGTTCCTGCTCTAACACATGCTTATGTGTGTGTGTTTATGTCAAATGTCCGTCATGAAACATTATACATCACCATTACTATAAGTGAGGAGCAGCAAGTGAAGCCAGTCCTATAAGCCACTTGTTCACATAGGGACTTAAAGAGGCTTAACAGAGCAGGGGCCAACTCTAACTGTGCACAGACAAAATATAAGCAACATTTGTGTATTCAGCTCTGAAGAGGGAGACTATATCCCCTCTCCCCCTTAGTTATATTATGCTAGTTTGAGAGCAGTAATAAGAGTCCCATATCAGGAGAATGGCATTAATGGCACCAATCTGCCTGTTTATGGCTTTTTAATTGGGAACAGCTTAAGTGAAAGCCTTGGCTCGCCCCTCTAGACTCCCTATTTGAAAGGAGACTCTGGCCGGATTAATGAGGACAGTGACACATTAATGAAGACAGTAAATAACAACATAACTGAACCCTTAAGCTGCTGTGCTCATATTTAGAGGTTGCTCTGCTAACCCCCGCTGGTTGTCTGATGTTCTAAAAGAGGATTATGACAGGGTCTGAAAAAAATCAAGAGGAGGAAGCAAAGGTCACATTTTGAGCTTTTCTCCTCTTATGTAATATCGCTGCACTTTGATGGAAAGGTTCACCTCTGTGCAAAGGGCAAACTGATTTCATCACAACTAAGAAGAAGTGTGCTGTTGTGAATCTGCTGCAAAGATGCTGGCTGTGAATTGTACTCAAAAATCTCTGCAGGAGTGACGGCGAGCATGCTACACATCAAGACCTTAAACTACTTTTGATAACACGTGTTATTGCGTGTACGACTGCTGCTCCCTCTGTTTCTTCACATGTATTTTGATGTTCGAATCTCAGATAAAAGTTGCATGACTGAGCTTTAACTGACTCAACTAGTGATGAATTAGCCATCAGCACACCGCCCACTTCTCAACAGCTCTGATATTATGATATCCAGCCCACTGAACCAGCAAATGCCACAAGATCTGAAGACTTTTTAACTCTCTGACATTCAATACTCCCGAGATTACTCAGGAAAAAAAGAGTCTCGGCTAAATGCTGAAGTTCGGCCTTTCGAGTTTAAAAGGTTACCTGTCAATAAAGATACCTGAATTCTGTCTGCCACCTAGTGCTCGGATTGAATTATTACACTTCTACTGTCTTGGTCAGCTGCAGAGCTTCTTCCCGAAGCATTCTCTGTGATAAAACAAAACCATTCAATTCTATAGTTATGTGCATTTTTAAAGAACTTGTGCTCTACTTCATCTCTTGTGTTCTTCCCTCTTCAGAAATGGGATTTAAGGGGATAGGTCACTAATGTTTATTTTATTTTTAGGTTCCTGTGAGCTGGAGTTTGATATCATGGATATTATTATTGATATTGTTGAGAGCTTATTTGGAAAGTTCAGAGCACAGGTGTCAAACTCAAATCTGGCCCGTGGAACAAGTATATCATATTTGTATTATTATTGGCCCACCAGTATGAGGTCTGCAGAGTTCCTCCAGGATGATAATATAAACTTGAGCACCTTTATTGAAAATATCCTCAATAAACCATGAAAATCTGGGAAAGTAAAGGGTAAGGAAGATTTGATGAATAGTCAGGAATGTGGGGGAAAAAAATGTGTTTTATCCATATTTCCAATTTTGCATCTCAAGATTACAAGTCAAACATGTTTGACTTTTTATTTTGTGCTTTGATTTTTTCAACTCAGTATTTAGATTTATGTCATTTTAATCCTTTAGATTCCAATTTTAAATTTTAAGTCATATTTTGACTTTAAACTCTTGATTTCAAAATGATCTTTGACCTTTCAGACTTATGATTTCAACTTTCTCCTCATGTATTTGCTCTTTAACAGCATTATTTTTCTATTCATAATATCATGTTCTGATCGTTTGAACTCATCTATTAGATTTTTTTAAAAATCTCAGATTGCCTTTAAATTTATCCTTTTTACTTTTTGAATTTCCAAGTGGTTTATAATCATCCCTGATTTTGTTACAGAGGCTGACAGTTTAGGTTAAATGTTGACCCTGTTGGGCCCTCAGGTTAGACTTAAATCCAGATTATGGCCCTCGCTGTGGTTGAGTTTGACACCCCTGGTTTAGAGTTCAAAACTGACTTAATCTTATTCTAATCAATAAGAGTAATTATTGATCTTCCTTTCTTGAGAAGGTCCTCATAAAAGTCAGTTTTATCACAACATTTGATGGGTTTTGCAACAGCATTTGGGGACACATTCAAAGCTCGTAAGATTTCCCTGAACCATCATGTCTCAATGTAATACTGGACGGCTGTTTCTAAAGATCTGCCCATGCCGAACAGATAATTCTGCCATTGACTCTTATTCGCTGTTGTTTAGTGGATTTGATGATTTAAGTGCGGAGATTCGAGAAATATTGACAATTTAACAGTTTAGTAATTTAACAAGCAAGAGCCTCAGGAGCCTGTCAAAGAACCATGCACAGCACAACAGCCTGGCATCTCCTCCTCATACTGATCACCAGCCAAGTCACACACTGCTCCCATTCTTAATCAGTATTTGTTGAAAGTCAGCCAATATGGTTGTGTTGGTCACTGGCATGAGCAGCAGGCCCAAGCTGAACCCACAAGTGCTTCATGGGGTTGAGGTCAGGACTGCTGTAAGGCCGTTCCATCCTCTCCACTCCCAGATTCTGGGGGTAGTCTCTGATAAACCCTGCTCTGTTGGGGCGAGCAATGTCAGCTTGGAAGAAAGAGTTTATCCAAGACCATGGAAATATGAGATTGCCACTGGTTACTGAATCTTATCTTGTTATCTCTCTACGTTGAGATTGTCTCCAGTGATGACAAGCCTCGTTTCTTCCAATAAGGGAGATACAGCTTCACACATCAGACTGCCCACAACAAAAGATGTTACCCTATCGGTGGAGCAAATTGTGTTTTCAACATCCTCTCCACAAAAAAATGAAATAAAATAAAATAAACTTTTCAGTCCGCCTGGTTAACACAACAACTAGAGGGCGATATCTTAAATTCCACAGTTTTTGCAAACGGAAAACCCCCCAACCTGCAGCCGTCACTATTTTCAAAATAAGAGTCTGTTGAGGTAGGAGCCCATTGAAAACTGCTAAGGCCTGATCCCAATCTCCTTACTGTTTCCAAAGCACAAAACCTACCTGCATGAAATAAAGTCAGGTGTGTTGTGTGAGTTTTTGAGTTTTTGAGGGTTTTAGGTATAAATGTAAGGAATTATTTGAATGAATGTAAATGAATAAGCCAACCTTTTTTATTAGTTCTGTCTGCTTTAAAAACTCAAACACTGCTTTATACTTACCTTTTCCAAGACTAAATAAATTCTTAAGGTTTAACACTCTCATTTCACTTTCCAGTAGTTTCCTAAAAAGAATTTCTCTTTGATTATTATACTTTTGACACTTACATTTCGCATGTTCCACAGTTTCATCCTTAACTCCACAGTCACATCTCCCAGTTAGATGATTTTCAATTAAATGCATAGTTCTCACTTACTATATGTAATTTCCAAAATTCTGTTGTGTTTCAGAGCTTGTTAAGCAATAAGATCTGCCATTTCATTCCCCTAAATACCTTCATGTGACGCTTTTTTTAAGTCGTTATAATAAGCTTTTATTTTGAAAGCTTGACCCGGAAGTGCTTTTGACGTCATGTTGTAGTTACTCTGATTGGCTGTCTCCAGACTGGTGCTGATGTGGTGTTCCCAAGTTAGCAAGTCTCCTGTACCGAATTAAACCAGAAGACTTTTGATCAAAATAATATCGTTTTTTGGTAAATAATGCCTTTCTATCAGACATGGGAAGAGTTCGCTCGTGCAGCAGAAAAACTGTACCTAACAGATCCAATGAAGGTAAATAACTACATGTAATTGTAACGTATGGTTAGCATGCTAGCTGCGTAGCGTGTTATACCAAAGAGCATGATCGTGTCTAAAAACTACCGGTTTGATTTTTTTTAATGTGTGCTGACAATCTCCGTCCTTTTTCAGGTCAGAGTGGTCCTCAAATACAGACACTGCGATGGTAACCTTTGCATTAAAGTGACCGACAATGCTGTGGTAAGTGACCGTAGGATCGCGTCTAAACCGCTTGTCTGGAAAAGTGTTGTCCAAGCTGTATTAACTTACATTTAACCCTCTAGTAAGACAAAATTGGGTGCTTTGAAAGGCGCCTCTAAATAAAATGTATTATTTTTATTTTTGGGCCTGCAGCTCTTTTCTTTTTGATTGCATGAAACAGTCGGCGATCGTGAGTGACTCATCAGGACAGCTTTTATCAAAGTGATCAAAAACAGCCTCATCAGGGAATCCTCACTGATGAGAGCTGTAGACTGCTGCCACATGTGATCAGCTGGTTTCCTCTGATTCGGAAAGTTCCGGTTTACTGCAGTATTGCCAGGCAGTTCATAAGTAACTCCTAGGGGTGCGCCAATCACAATTTTCTGGCCGATCACTAATCGCCGATCTTTAAAAAGCTTGACCTGCCGATACCAATTTTGGCCGATTTTTTTTTTTTTTTAAATAACTGACAACATACACCTTCAATGCTCCTATTACTGATAAACACTGAACAGTACTTGTGAAACAATACAATCTTTTTGTGTTTGTTTTAACTGCACATGAGGTAGTTCTCTCAAATATAAATGAAACGTTTAGAATATTGCTGTCCAAACTACTAAATTATACCAGTTCCTTTAGTCTTTTACTTTTTTAAAAATTAACAATACTTGCGCAACACGTCACACTGCAGGCCTGTTTTGATCCTCTTACCAAAATAAATTGCACAGCAGTATTTTCCTTTTACAAATAAAGGAAATCAGAAGGTTTGAGGAAGTTAGTAAAATAATAATATACAGGACAAACTAACAACACAACATAAACCACCAATAAACTGTCCTGAGTTTTAGGTCGTGTTCACACCTAAAGGTCTGATTCCTGATTTGAATCCAAGGCAAGACGATACATTTGTTTTGATTGTTTGATCGATGAGCCAGCGGATTTATCGGTGCATGTTTAGTTTCTCCTGTCACTTCTTTGCTCGGTTGACTTTCATTCTTCATCTGTGAAACCAAACTCATTAAAGTGTCCTCTTGTGTTCATAGGAAACACGCCATCTGTGTCTAGATCTCACAAAGTTATGCCTTGTGATACGTGAGGCAGTCCTCCCTATGTTTGGTAGATTTAACTTAACAGTGGTTGTTTTGTTTTGCTGATTCCACAGTGTTTACAGTACAAGACAGACCAGGCCCAGGACGTGAAGAAGATCGAGAAGCTCCATGGAAAACTGATGAGACTCATGGTGTCCAAAGAGACACACAGCGGTGCCATGGAGACGGACTGACGGACTCTACAGGAATAAGAGCACATGGACTGAGTTCAGTGGATGCTGGGTTGTTGAGAGCACAGTACCATCAGAGTGCAACGCAAAGTCTGAGATGAGCAGAAGTAAAGAGGGAATAAGATTGATCCAGCTGCTTTCACTGATTGGATACCATCAGAGATCTGATTTAAATACTGTATATATTTTATTCTCTCAGGATTTTGTTATTTTTGCTACATGCTAAGTCAATAAAAATCCCACTATTCTACATGTCCATACTGGGCATTTCTTCATATCTCTGATGGTATAAATAAAAGAAGGTGCAGAAAAGGCAGCTGAGTGATTTAAGGAATGAAAGAAGGAGAAAATGTTGGGTCTGGGGTGTGAAATGTACAAAAAGAACAAATCCTGCTGCTGTGTAAGCAGCGCTGGTACCTTGTTTTCTTTAAAGGAGGATAGTATTTATTTTTTGTTTTGTTTTTAAAGGAGACGTAAAAGACGGGCTAAGACGGTGCTAATTGTTTTTTGTGGTTGACATCAAAGTCGGGGTCAATTTTAGCACAGCTTTTACTTTCATTTTCGAAGTCCATATGGACATGTGCCACACAATTGAATAAGGATGTTTTGATTTCTCAAAAATAATTTCCCTGATGAAAACCCAATGCCTCCAAATGCCAATTCACCAAGCTAAGTATCTGTGCTACATGTTGAATAAATGTTTAGTTGCCCTAGTACAGTCCATCTCAGCTGTTTTTATTTTGTGTGAAGATTTGATGGAATACATGTAGGACCAAAAACGTTTGCTAAAAGGAGTTCAGGGTGTGGCATTTTGGGTAAATCTTAAAAATGCAGGTGGGAAAAGAAACTGTGATAGTTTCAGTAAACCGTTTCAGTCTGAATCAAGTGAAGTCTCTGAACCAACATACGCCACAGATGGTCAACAAATCAACTTCATTCATCTTTGAAATGTGTGCATGGATATTCAATGAGCACAACTAATTAAGGGTAGAGTTGAAAATCATAGGGTCATGGGGATCTAACCTCTCTGTTAAGATGTAAAATAACGTGGTTGAGGTCTCTTTGTGGTACACAGAAGGTAGCAGCAAACTGAAACTGAAGAGACAGAAATTGTGTGTTTGTGCGCAGAACTAATCCAGGCCCCAAAACGTGGAAAGAAACACAACGGCTACAACCTGAAAACCATTGTAAAACTTTTTAAAAATTCTAATGAAGTTTAAAGGGATATTCTGGCGTAAAATTAAGTTAGGGTCAAACACACTGTAACACAAAGTTAGACACCCTGTCAAGAGATGAATGTTGCAGAAAGCTTGCTTCTCTACTTATACCAACTTAAGCAACGACCGCACATTAGCAATACACAGCGGTCTCAGGAGCCATGCGCTCAACCGAAAAGCCACTCTATAGCCACAAATAATGCATGCATGCTTATAATGTACATATAAGGTCCCAACCATAGTACTAACCACCAAACATCTTTTTAGCTTTGCCTAATTTCTTTAGCAATTCACCTACTCCTTTCCAGCAGCCGCTTGTTTGTATGGAGACCCCTGGGTGATTCCATCCATGCAGTGGGGTGACGCAGCTCAAGGAAGAACATTTATGATCGCTACTTTATCATTTCCTTGAAGTAATTATCACCATATTAATCATTTTGCACTGCAGACGCTGTAGTTCTTCTGCCTCAGCATCTCGGTCTGATTGTATTTCCATGAAGAAATTATCATAAATGTTCTTCATTGAGCTGCGTCACCCCTCCTCAGTCTGTAATGGACTGGCTTGAGGTCTCGCGACAAATAAGCGGCTGCTGGAAGAGAGTAGGTGAGTTGTGTTTTGCTGAAGAAATTAGGCAAAGTTAAAAAGATGTTTGGTGGCTAGTGTTGTGGCTGGAACCCTATATGTACTGTTGATGAAGTTAGGTGCTGTTCTGAACATTATTTGTGGCTATAGAGTGGCTTTTTGGTTGAGCTCGTGGCTCTCTGTATTGCTATCGGTCGTTACCGAAGTTGGCATAACTAGAGAAGCAAGCAGTCAGCAAGCATTCATCTCTAGACGGGGTGTCTAACTCAGTGTTACGGTGTGTTTGACCCTAACCTAATTTTATGACAGAATATTCCTTTAATGTACCCTGAAAATACAGGTGAATAAAATTAAACCCAACAAATATTGTTCAGTTTGGTGAATATTGAGTTTTTTCTTTTTTTTTTTTTTTGTGAGCCAAATCCGAGTCTGACCGCCGGAGTGTCCACCTCCACCAAGTACTACATATCCCAACATGCACTTCAGAGGTTTCAAAACAGTTCCAGGACAAACTGTTATCCTCTTGTGTTTTCCATCTACGCGTGTGGAAGTACACAGAAATAATTTTATGATCATTTGGCTGCTTTTGCTGATACGGATAACTTTCGGGCTAAAGTCTTTAAAATTCAGGGAAAAGAAAAGTGGCTTTTAGGAGAGTAGAGGAGGATTCAAGGAAAAAGGAAAGGAAGCGAACGTGTCCTGCAGAGCTGCGCAGACTGGCGAGTCCTCGACGTCAAGACCTGCAGGCTGCCAGTGAGTCTGTAAAGTAAAGTGCTGGAAAACCAGGTGAGTTGTTCATTTAACTTCACTTTATATTCAGAGGAATGGTTTTGTGACCGATGCATATTTAAATGTTTGAGTTTTAGCTGTTTTGACAAGGTAAAATAGAAGTTGTGTCGTTTCATTTTGGGGAAATATCGTTGCAAAATAGAAAAAACTCACTGCTGATTTAAGATTGACAGTAAAAGAAGAAAACGGGCCGTGGTCAGTGATATCTCATCGCTGTCTGGATGTGGTTTGCTTATATAAATTGGACTTAAAAATGTGTCTGCCACATTTTAGCAGAATCAACATACTCTTGTTTTTGTAGACTGAATGGTTCACCCCCTCAGTTAGTTCCAGAAAACCCCGTCAAGCTCTGCTGGCAGGTTGTTGAACTCTATTAACAGTGGTCTATTATATCATTGCATTAGCACGCCAAGTGACTGTCCAAGCCTGGCCTCTCGTGGGTGGCTCTTTGAACTTTGGTCTCCATAGATAAAATAGTTATAGATAGGTAACCATACATGAATGCAGTGGAAGAGTGCAATGATATTGTGGGGGTGTGTGTTTACATGCCTGTAGCTCTGTTGAATAAGAAAGGCTTTGTCATGCATGTAACTGAGGGGCCAAGTCTTTAGTTAATCCTGTCTGCATGCCACAAAAACAACAGTGACACTTTTGTTTGACTGGTCCCACATTTTTCACCCAACTCATGACTGATTATATTATGAAGTCCCAACAAATAATACATCACCAGCTGACTAAGTCACTGACATGAGGAAAAGGGGTTCAGCTATTTCTGTGACCTTTGCACTGCAAACTTTCAAAGTTCATTGACCTACAGGCCCAGTTTTAGGCTGTTGCTAATACTAATAATAATAAATTTATTGGTATAGCACTTTAAAAACAGAAGTTCACAAAGTGCTTTGACATATAGTCATAAAGCACATGGACTAGACAGATAAAAACAGTTAAAAATAAAATAGTTAAGCAAATGCAATTAAAAGGGGGGTCGAAAGCAGAAACAGGATAGTAAATATAAAAGGCAATATCAACAATGAGAGTAAAATAATAGCAGGTTATACTGATAATAATAGTAATGATAAAATAGAGCAACAGAAATGAGGAAGTATCGAGAGTACAAGAGTATAAGAGTACAAGTATAACAAAAGCTAAAAAGACAGTAAAGCCAAAATAAGATATAGTGTAATGTATTACTTATTCTTATTTCATTAATTTATTCATTCATTTGATGAAAATATTGCTGATGACAATAAGTTTGGGGTGCACAATAAAAAACAACATCGCAAATCCTTAAACATATCAAATGTAAGAGTGTAATAAATGCATATAATGTAACAAATAAGATTAACAAACATAATTGACTCAGATAAAAAAAAAATATCCTGGTAATGTGAAATATCTTTGGGTGAATATATCGGCTTATAACATTAATAACTTACCCTGTTTCTTATGTTTCTGCTTGTTCATCTCCTCTCCTCTTGCACAGACTCTAAGCACCATGTTCACAGAGGTGCTGGTTGCTGTGGTGATTGGAGGAGTGATCTTTTTCCTGTTTCAGAGGAGTAAGAGGCAGGTTCTGAAGACAGAAGACGGTTGGTGGGGAGCTGGAGCACCGCCTGAGGATGGGGAGGATGTCACCATCAGGCCTTTTAAGATCACCACCTGTGATGAAGAGATGGAGGTTTGTCATCAGTAATGAACTACATGCAGAATGTTGTTTGGTATCCCAAATCTGTGTACAATTTATATCAGTATTAATGGAGTCGCTACCCATGCCAGGGGCAGCCATGCAGCCCTGTACCATCACAGATGCTGGTATTTGAAATGTGCTCCAATAACAAGCCGCCTCTACAGGGAAGACGGTTTAGCATCTTGGATTTCCAAAAAGAAAGTCAAATTTTGAGTCACCTTACTGAAGGATGGTTCTCCACTTCCACTTTTCTAATGAAAAACCATTCAGGCATTTCCACTGCAGGGTTATGCCTGTTTTTTTTTTAGTATATTTTCTTTTATTTCTTTCAATCTTTTTATGATTTAAGGTTTCTGGAACAGTGCTGTCCTAAGACTCCCATTATCCTGAAATCTTTAAACTATTCGCTCATGTACTGTCTCACAGAGGTGAACCTTTCCCATCTTCCTTTTAAAAAACTTAGAAAATCTGAAAGCCCTTTTGTACCGGTTAGGTTTTTTTTTTGCATCACACAACTTGTCAATATGTTTTTGTCCCTGTCCCAACTGTTTTAAAACATACTTTCAACATTTTGTTATGATGTATTTGCACCATTTGGGGGCCTTTGAATGATTTGCAAACTATCAATTTCTGTTTTTGTTAACATTATACTCAGTTTACTAACTTTTTTTGGTCTTTGTGGATGCACAGCAGGTACTTTCTTTTGAGGAGGTTATTTAATATATCAGATTGTAATTGTTAATTAAATTGCAACATTGAATTTTGAACTGGTCATCCCCCCAGAGTGTTTGCCGTACATTTACAACAACATCAGTTGAAGCAGACGTCGTCTTTTATCTTCTGACTCAAAACCGATCCCTTTGCATTGAATTTGCACATCTTCTCTGTGTTTCTATCAGGATCTCTACAGGAGGATAGATCAGACTCGCCCTGTTCCATCACTGGAGGACAGCCAGTTTAACTATGGCTTTAACTCCCAGTACCTGCAGAAGGTGGTCTCTTACTGGAGAAACGACTTTGACTGGAAGAGACAAGTGGATAAGTTAAATCAATACCCACACTTCAAAACAAGCATCGAAGGTGAGGCCACACAGCCATTAGAGTATTATTAGATTAAAAATCTTGCTTTATTAAAACTGTCCCCATATTATTACAATGTTATCCAGGTATTGATATCCATTACCTCCATGTGAAGCCCAAGAAAGTGCCGGAGGGAGTGACTCCTCTTCCTCTGATAATGGTTCACGGCTGGCCTGGATCCTTCTATGAGTTCTATGGGTTGATCCCTCTGCTGACAGAACCAGCAGACCCAAATGACCTTGTGTTTGAGGTGGTGTGTCCTTCTATACCAGGCTATGGTTTTTCAGAAGCATCCTGTAAGAAAGGTAAGCGTGTAAACGAGTAAGTTGGACACATAGAAATACATTTTCAAAATCCAATATATCTTCTTTATGTTTGCATGTGTGTGTTTTCTGTCTGTAGGGTTTGACTCAGTTTGTGCAGCACGCATTTTCCTCAAGTTAATGAAGCGACTGGGCTTCCAGCAGTTCTACGCTCAAGGAGGAGACTGGGGCTGGCTGATCACCACCAATATGGCCCAGCTTGAGCCTAAGTAAGACAAATATATCCATCTGACTTATTCTTGTCGTTTGCCATTAAGTCTTTTCAGCTGTGAGTTCAAAGTACTGCTGTGAAATTACGCATTGACTTATTGTTTTAATCATAATCACAACCCATGACTTTTTTTTTTTAAACTTTCTTTTCATTGATCTTCTTTAACACACCTGATTCAAATTATCAGCTCGTTATCAAGCTCTGGAATGGCTTGATAACGAGCTGATCATTTGAATCAGGTGTGTTGGAGCAGGGAAACATCCAAAACAGGCAGGACAGGGGGGCTGGAGGACTGGACTTGAGAACCACTGCTCTACAGTTTGATCTTTTTTCCTTGTCAGTGTGAATGTCTTCATCCCGTCGTTTTAATGTATTCGGTCCATTTTTCCCATTTCCGGCAACATTGATCTTCTTGAGTCCTTATTCTATAAGTCAGTCGTTCCAAAGTTTATATTTCGTTGATAATTTTCAACCAGTCTTCCTGTGACAGTGGGTCCGCCCTAGACCATTTTCCTGTCATCGCCTTTTTACAGGCTGCTAACATAATTTTCAATATGTGTCTATCTTCCTTCAGAACAACATTTCCTGTAGTGATTCAAGATATAAAAATGTACAAGACTTGGATACAGCATAACCCAAAATTTAACCTATAACCACATAAACAGCTTCCCAAAATTTTGTGATTTTAGGACAGAGTCAGAACACATGTGAATGGTACTGAAGTGTGTTTACTCCTAATTTTGGGTGTTATAAAAAGTCTACTAAGATTTTTCCAACAGTGTAGTCTCCAGACACGGGATGATGTTGTTGTCTGCTGTATTCTCCAAATATGTGACCATTCATCGTCAGATATGTTCACACCCAGTTCTCTCTGCCATCTCAGTTTTACATATGTCCCCTCCATTATATGCCCATAAATTGTAGAGATTATTCCAAATTTCCTAGCGTTGTAAGCTTCGGTTATGGTTTTGATTATTGAATTTTTGTCCAGATCTCCTTGTTGAATAAGTCCCTTATCTGCAAATATCTGAAATGGTCTTCATTACTTAAATCATATTTTTGTTTAATCTCCTGGAAGCTCAAGAAATTCCCATTTTTAATTACTGTACATATTGCTGTTAATCCGTTAGGAATCCATTGTTTAAATCTTTGGTCAAACTTGGAAGTTTTTATTTCTAATACTGACTGAGTTAAGACTGTTTAAAAATGTGGGATTTGACCAGTTTTAAGAAACATCAAGGTGCGTCCTAAAAGTTAGGATTGAAATGTGATAATTTATGTATTCCTGGTCACTCTTTGGAAATGCTTTGATGCGTTTTGTAAATACCACATAACCCGTGCCTTTTTATTTCCAGCACAGTCAAAGGTCTACATGTGAACTTCGCCCCTCCCTCCAAGCCAGGACTGTCCGTGACTTTATCCCTCATGCTCGGTCGACGCTTCCCTAAGCTGTTTGGCTTCACTGATGTGGATGTTCAGCGCCTCTTCCCATGCATGGAGAAGCTGCTGGTGGAATCCATTAAAGAGAGTGGCTACATGCACATTCAGGCCACCAAACCAGACACTGTTGGTAAGGAAACAAATTTGCAGAGTGGGATAAAAGCATAAATGCGTTCTTGGGGTTTTGTGGCTTAGTGTGTACACTTTGATTCGAAACTCCCCCTACAGGTCGAGGACTGAATGATTCTCCTGTGGGTCTGGCGACTTACATTCTGGAGAAGTTCTCCACTTGGACGAGCCATGACTTCAGGAACCTGGAAGATGGTGGACTCACCAGGTAAAGAAAACAAGTTACTTTATTTATGCAGCCCATTGGGTATCACAAAGACAATGTCAAAGGAGACCTAAATTATTTGGCAGATTACCTCTGATAGTTGAAGAAGATATTGACTTTTTTGTTGATTCAGGTGCCGGATAGCTAAACCCTCTCTGTTGTTTGTGTTTTGCCTTGTAGAAAGTTCTCTCTGGACGATCTGCTGACTAATGTGATGATCTATTGGACGTCTGGCTGCATCATCTCTTCTATGAGGTTCTATAAGGAAAACTTTCGCCAAGGCCTGGACCAGCCTCACTCTAAGTAGGTGACGAATTCATATCGCTAAATCAAAATGGATGTTTTTACCACTTTACTGGTCACACACTCTTTCAAGTCAAACAGGGAGGTACCATTATTTTATGAAAATGAAATTAATATAAATTTCAATAAACTGCAATTACACTAGGATAGGCTTCGATAGCAAGGTCACATGACTTCAAAGCTAGTGTTCAATGATAATTATGAGCAAAAAATTTGTCAGCGACCTTTTATCTACGGCAAAGACAATTAGAAACTGGGAGTAAAATGGAAAAGCAACTTCTTATATCCTACAACTTTCCCTATCAGTCGGAAAACATCAAACAACACATGAAATAGTAATAATTTCCACTTCTGCTCCAAAAAGAAGATATTACCTGATGTTAATAAAGTCTATAATCCCTTGAATAGATGAAAAACATCCAATTTAGTTTAGTCACAAATGAGCTTTTTAGCATCTCGCTGAGATAAAAAAAAAAAAAAAAACAGGTGTTTCTGTACTGGCTATATTTTCTGCTCATAATCACAGACAAACTGCTCTTTTTCTAAGCATCAACATTGCATTTCCAACACTACTCTGAATGTATCATCTCTGTTTTATTTCTGTGTTATGGTGCTTGTTCACCCTTCCATTACTGCACACTCCAAAGTTTCATATCACAATGCTGTGAACGCTCTTACGCTGAGTCTGCAGAAATGCTCGCTACCAGAAAGGGTGCAAGAAGCTCTCTAAAGCCTGCCAGAGACCCTTCATGCACTTGACTGTTTGACAGTGAGCTAGCCCTAAGCCCTAATGTGCCTTAAAGGGCTGGTAGGGGAGAGTGGGGTAAGATGAGCCATTTTTCATATTTCAGATCACTGCATCAAGGCAATCATAGTTTTGTCTCTAACTAGTGTATCTGCATATATTTTAACATGTTGTGCATCCCTGTAAACCAACAGAATGAGTGTAAACATGACTATCTTGATAATATAGCATGCCAAACTTTGGCTCAACTTACTCCACTCTACCCTATAATACAAAAATTGCAAAGTTACAAAGTTTGGTGTATTTTTTCATAATCCTAGAAAATATATGTAAACTCCTCAAATCACCGACATGCGTGAGAAAATACGAGACCATAATTTATGTGCGAGATTTACTGAAATTCTTACTTAACCTTTCAACCCTGAATAAACCAGCGTGTTTAAAAAGCGCACTTCTTTTATAATGTCAGTGGTTCTCAGTGAGACACAAACCTATGACGTGATAAAAGAAATACAACATCACCAGACTGCATCTAAGGCTGACACCTGATCTTGTTTTTGCAGGATACCAGTGTACGTCCCCACCGGCTACGCCTGCTTCCCTAATGAGCTTATGCACACCCCTAAGCTCTGGGTCAAACAGAAATACCGGAAACTTGTGTCCTACACTTACATGGCCAGGGGTGGTCACTTTGCTGCCATGGAAGAGCCCCAGCTGATGGCTGAGGACATCCAGAAGTTTATCAAGATGGTGGAAAAGAAGAAGAAAAAGTAGTGTAGTCATGAAAAGGTGAAAGAAGTAAAGTAATGAAAGTTTTAATAAGCAGATGTCTAAATGAACAGAAGTGAACTGTAAAAGGATAAGACAGCATTGTGATTATTGACAATGAAGGAAGCACTGTGTTTCTCTCTGAGTCTGATCAATGATTCAGTTAAAGCTCAATCATACTCGTATATCGAAGCAGTTATATCCAGCATCAATATAGTCTGTGAACTTGATGTCATCTGTTCTCAACCTGCTGCAGTTACAGGTTAGGAACCAGGACGCATCATCCATTCAGTCTTTTTCCTCCTGCTCCTCAAAGAGTTTCTGTCCTCTGTGAATCTTCTTCTATCATTTAACACTTTACCAACCAGTTTAAGGACACTTACCGCTTTCACGGCCCAGATAAGAAGCCAGACATTCCTCTGACTGAATCAAACACCAGCTATGCTAAACATGACTGCTTTTAACTTTGGAGTTGATATACTTTGAATGAATTTTGAACTAATTTGAAAGCCATTGTAGTTTAGAGTTAATTAATCTACCATAGCATTACTGCAGATAAGAGATTGATTCCCCCTCTTGGTGAAAAAGTGCCTTATTGCTGCATCCTCAGCAGGGGGTGACTTAGATAAAGTCAGATCTCATACCTATGGTGCTGAATTAGAGGTTTTAAATCAAGAGTCCTCCCACCAAATGATAATAACATAGTAGCTATGACCTCTTATTCAATATACTGATGTGTTAGTCTGTACTGCACTGCCTATACCACTGCTGCCTTTGACTTATTTGCCCATGATTGTAAAATGCAGTGTTACAATATATCCTGTTGGCTCATTTTGATTGCTTCAAAGCAGATAAGCACTTAGTACTTGCTGTTTCTTTTACATTTTAATTGCATATGTAAAAATCTTTCAATATAACCGTATGAAGTTGAATGTGATCTATAATGCTGCTGTGAAAACAAGACAACTCCAAGGCACTCTCTTTAATAAAGAGCAATAATGTCTTAATTTCCATAGCCAGGTGTCTAAATATATAACCTCCACCAGGTGGCGTTGTTTTGGACAAAGTGAATTTAGGGCTGAGCGGTTACAACGAGATTTCTGAACAGCTAAGGCTGCGTTTACACTCTAGGCAAGTGGAGGGGTGTATATGGAACCAGTATAGAGGAATTTCTTATGGGCCCGTACCCTGCGTTGGTAACTGTTAATCATGTTATCTTTGTGGGCCCCTAAACTATTAGGGCACCAGTTTGCTTCAGAGTCTAAATACCCCTTTTTCTCCCCAATTTGACACCTCTGGTCCTGGGTCATGCTAGCAAGAGTAGAGCAGCAGGTTAAAGGTGGAACCTACAGAACCTGCACCTACAGAAACTTACGTGCCAAAACCGGACGTCAATTTTGGGGAGCTATTTGGACTCTTAAAATGTAGATTCAGAACAGCATCAGGTATTGTGCAGAACTTCTTTGCAACCAGTATAAGTACTTACAGGGACACCACAAAACCATATGTGATAGTTTATTGGCTTAAAGGAATATTCTGGGATCAAATTAATTTAGGGTCACATATGAAGATGGCAGCTCAGTAAAAGGATGAGGCTTTAATGTTCAAAACACTTAAATTTGCCGTCGCATTGTGCAAAATAATCACTAATCATCAATTGGTCTAATTTAAAATCTTGTGTTATATGTGTCACAGTGGTGTGTAGCTTGGGCCCTTTTACCCTCAATAGATAGTACATGTACTTGGTTAACTCCAGGGAAAGCCATCGACCTTGATGGCCTAGCCTGTGTCTGTTGTAGGAGAGAAGACTAAACAATGAATCTTATCAGCCGACAGTTATCTCGAGTTAGGAGGTGTTTCTCTTTATGAACATTTTTCCTTCTGGGCCAAAGTTTAAGTCAATCTTGGTTGTACCCTGTACGTGATACACAGTTGACCCCTTTTGGAAAATAAAAAGATGGTGTCCTCAGATTTCCTCTCCAGTATGAGTTACAGTATTTAAGTGTCACTAAGTAGACATTTATTTATCATTGAGGAACCACATTGTGGACTTTTTCAGGGTGATGTTTGTTGAAAATACACACGTCACTGGTAACACACAGTGGCAAATTTTTGTTTGAATAAAAACTTAGCGCTATAGAAAGTGAGTGACAGATCAGGTTCAGATTTCACTGCTTTGTTGTTTCCACTCTCAGGTGGGCGTTACTGATGGGAATTTTTGGTCTCGCACAGTTTTTAAAATATCATCATACATGTTGATCTGAGGTCCAGTCCCGTGGGAAACCAGATTTTACTTCTTTTTATATGTCAAACACAGGAAATAAAAACTGGATGCAGATATTTTCATGCCCTAAGCAAAAGTAAAATCCCCTGCAGTGAGTTTAGCTTTCATTAAAAAACAATCTTTTCAATTATAACATTATATAACAAATGTTAGCCGAAACAATAATTTCATTTACTTTTTAATCCAACACTGTAACTTGATAATATAACGCTGCTAACCATGTCAAGAAAATGAGCTCTTGAGAGGGTTATTTTGTGTTGACTAAAAAGAGATCATCAGTCTTACAAAACAACTTCATTAGATTAAAATAAGATGAATAATGTCTCGTATACAAAAAGGCTACATTTTCTGTCATCTGTCTGCTTTTTATTTTTTTTTAACATGGTAAAAACAGCAGGCTGAAAACAAGTTTACCAGGATAGTTTTAGAAGTTTTTCATCTGAGAAAAACATTACATTTTTTATCTTTAATTCAACACAATGTGTCACAACCATACAGTCTATTGTTGTAACTTGTTTTTTAAAGTGCATCAATAATGTAAAATTCATCAGAGAGAAAGTTAAAATGCTTTCAGCTCTTGAAGGAGACAGGTTGGCACTTTACTTCTCTCTCGTGGTCAGAAATATGACTTACAAGGAACATTTTTTCATGTATATCTTTCTACAGAAAACTACATAAAAACCTTTTTTGTTCAAAAACAGAAACTACAGTAAAATCAATTCTGTACATACAACATACATCATTTCATAGTAATAAATAATTTGACATGCATTGCATCGTGTTGTTGCTAGTCCTCCAGTGAATACAAAAATAAAAATCTTCAATTAACATTAAATTGTACAATGGCATTTTCCTTCATACAAAGGAGAAAAAGTGTGAAGCGTTGTTGGTCGTCCCTCTCTGCAAAGATCATCAAGAGTTTTCTGAGTTAGATGCACCGGTGTTACTGGATGATACTTGGTAACCATCTGAAAAACAAACAGTGTCCCTAGTACTTAATTTCTCATTCTGTAAAAATAGTCTTCCCAACAGTACAAAAACATGTTCATCCACCTGACCCACCTTTACTTAAATTGAACAAACAACAAGACGCCGCCTGTGCCAGTTTTGATTTAGAGCTCATTAAGAGTCACTTAATTGCCTTCATAGAGTAACCGGTTTATTATGATTCCTTTCTTCTTTCTATTTAACTTGGGTTTGGTGCCATTAGATTTTTTTCGAAGATAATTTGGGGGATTTTGCCTTTAATGACAGAATGACTTTCAGAATCAGAATCTCTTCATTGTCCCGTAAAGGGAAATTAGTTTTGCAGCAGGGCTCACATAAGACAAGTACGCAATGACAACATAAATTTAAAAAACATAGAACAATTAAAAAAATAACAACACAATATCAGAGACACATACACAAAACCACCTACAATTCAGTCCAGAGCTCATACCAAAAATGGAGAAAAACTACTACCAAGTAATTAAAAGTGCAATGTGTGCAAATGAGCAATAATAGTGCAAGACAACATGAGCAGCCTGAGGGTCATTGCTATTCAATAAATAAATTGCACTGGGGATAAAAGGGACCTGAAATATTTTAGTCCTCCTCATAGGGGCCCTAAAACGACGGCCTGAAGGTAAAAGCTCAAACTTGCATCTAAGGCCCGGACCACACGTATATAGATATTTATTTATCAGGATATTTTTGTACTCCCGTCTGAATAAATGTATCTGTCCACACGTGTTGATTCTCAAAAATGTCTGCGTCCACACGTAGCCTTCAAAATCAATCCTATCTGGTGCCGCTTAAAAAAAATTCAGGAACAAAGCTACCTGATTGACCAATGAATCGTAACAGCGTGGATATCCTGGATAAAGCTGAGAAAATACTCTCAGACTCAGAACATCCCTTGTTCAGAGAGTTTCAGCCACAGATACGTGTGCCAGCCCTCAACAAGAATCAGGTCCAGGCGGTCGTTTGTGCCACAGGTGAATAAACTAAGATAGATTGTGGGCAGCTTAATTCTTTATTTTTAGATACTGGTTCAGCTGATCTGAGCACAGATACATTATTTAAAGACTATTTATTGAAATACTTTTTTGAATTGACAAAGTTCAGTGCAGTAGTATTTTTAAATAGTCTTTTCTGAGTTGTTTTGTTTTGTTTAAGATGGGACAGGGTATGGAACTGTGTATGTGTGCTGTCTTTGTGCATGTTTTCAACTTACTGCAAATTAACTCCTCACGGGGACAATAAATTCAATCTACCAACCTACCAACCTACCAAGAGTCTGAATATGATGATACCTGAATTTGATGTCCATTCACCAATTATCGCTGTTAATCGAATCACATTATCTCGGTATCACAGGGAGGTTTGAGCATAATTTAAGGGTGTAGCTGCTCGTTGATTCTGAGATAACATTTTTTAAGAACTGGATAGACAGATGGTCTATCCAGATGGTCTATCCAGTTGGTCAGATGGTCTGACAAAGCCAGAACACTCACATTTTCTTACAGTGGATAATGCCAAAGCGTTACGGTACTACCACAGAAATAAACGACTGTTTTACCTCTTCCTCTTCTCCACTGCCGCAAAAAGCCGAATGCCCCCGAGGACGAGTTTCCTGCACTGGTGCTCTAAAACAAAGATAAAAGTGAGACATGTAACTCTGCAAATACTTAAATCTGCTTTGAAAAACTGAAACTTACATTTGAGTTCTTACTTACCCTTGTCCCACCACTCACTGAAGTCAGGGACTTAATCGCTATTTCTGACCGCACCTGAAAAGATCATCCTCAAGAGTTAGCATGATCACTCAGAGTTATTTTATCAGTAAAAAATGATTTTAAAAGATAGACCTCTTCTGGAGTTAAAAAAATTAACTCCAGAAAAAAATTAAATGAGAGTAAGACTGAAGTAGTTGTCTTTGGACCACATGGCAGCTGCCCCAGAGCAGATCTGTCCATCTTTGAGCCCTTTTTTAAAGACTCTGTAAAAAATCTGGGGGTTATAATGGAGAGAGATTTTAAAATGGATCTACAGATAAATGCAGTTGTAAAAGCCAGTTTTTATTATCTTCTTCTTTTACACAAGGTCAAGTCTTTTTTTATCTTTTAGTGATTTTGAGAAGGTTATGCAGGTTAATGCTCTTCCTCTTCATGTCCGGCTGTCCTCCACACTGCCTGTTTTTAAATCAAATTTGAAGACGCACTTTTACTCCTTAGCTTTCGACTCTTGGGAACTTGGCCTTTTTATCAGGTTTTATTAAACCATCTGTCTTTTTTTAATGTGGTCCTCTATCTTTGTTTTATTGTTTGTGTTAATTGTCTGTTTTTATTGTTTTTAATTTTACTGTACAGAACTTTGGTCAGCGTTTTGTTGTTTTTAAATGTGCTTTATAACTAAACCTGGTTTTGATTGGATTGGAGTTTGTAGTTTGGTTTAAAAACTAACCTGCAGGGTTTTGTGAGCCATAAATCTTTCAGCATGTAAACCAGATGTATTAAAGGGCTTGCTTTGGGCAAGAGGTTTGACGAATCCTGAGTTTGACCCTGAACTTTGAGCTGATTTACCAGAGACTTACCAATAACGGCCCTAAAGGATATGAAACGCCTCTGATGCGTGATAAGCATTACCCTCCATTTTCCAATTTTTACAATCGAACATAACCAGCCGCAGAAAGACTCTTTGCACTTAACCTGCTTTCAGAAATGGGCTTAACAACACTTGATCTGCAGCGTTTTATACAATAATATGATATAATAACACTTCCTCCTCAGGCTGTAATCACTTTACTATTAGCTGTGAAACTTAAAGAAATGTGAATATTGAAGTGTAAATACCTTTTTGTCCAGCAGCAATCCAAACACCAGTACGAAGAAACCCTGTGAAGACGGGTGCACAGTGTAATGTTGGAAGATCATATCCATCGAGGTATTGAACAAACATATTCAACAGTATCGAGCAGAGACATATTTTTAACAGCGTGAATTTTACCTGAAGAGAATTGAAGAATGAAAATGCAATATGAATGCCTATGTTGCGCTGGTCAACCAATGTCCCGATTCCCAGACCCCAAGTAAGTCCAAAGATGGGCGTGAGGACAGCCAGGCTCCTTGCAATGACCAACAGAACATTCCTCTCGGCTGCTTGTGAGGCGTCTCTCACCGCTCTTCTCCTCAGCATTTTGGTTATTATCACAATCAGGATTATGAGGTTAATCACAACTATCAGCAGAGCGGGGATCACAAAGGCCAGTAGAGCTTTGGGCTTGGAGTCGGGCTTGTCCCAGCTCAGCCAGCAGACTGTGTCATCTGTGTACTTTTCGGAGGGTGCAAGCACAGCTATAGTTATCACTGCAATAATGAGAGGTGCTCCGTATCCAAGACAGAATCCAATAGCCAACATGCTGCGTTTGGACAACCCTCCACCGAAAACGCTGACTGTGCGGTAGAACAACAACAGAGCTGAGGCTAACATCCAGAAGAACAGAGCTAAATAGAAAAAATGGATGAAAAATGTTGCTGACGAGCATGCCGCTTCATTCCTCGTTTCATCTTCAGAATTGGTTGAATCAGGAAAGTGCCCTCCTTTAGAAAGGGACCCTCCTACAATAAACCAAATGTCTGCAATCAGGAGGGATACAGCGATGTTAACAATAGAAACATGCCGCAGATAAGATGTGGTGTTCTTTCGAATTTTCTTCCATATGACAACTTCAATTATTAGAGTTATGACCAAACTAGCCATGGATACGCCTATTCCAATAAATGTTATTATGCTACACGCTTTGCAGTCTGGAACTTTTGGAGACATGAGGATGGAGAAGGAGGTCCTGTGGTTGCAGTTGCAGGTGACCGTTCCATTTCCTTGTCGCTCCAACATACATCCCTCATCGTCCCATCCTCCCAGGCCCTCAAAGAGTGTAAAGTTCCAGAAAACACACTGTGGATTCCCTAGTGTGTCATTTATTATATCAAATGTTAATGTGATATTAACTGAAATATCGTCTGAACCGCTTGACTTAACAAGTACGACTCGTCCATTGATGTCAAAGATGGAAGAATTCGTTTCCTCTCTTGCAGGGAGAACGTTTTCCAACGACAGAAATGTTATCACTGTGATAAACTTCGTTTCTTCATCATTCTCCCGTAACTCTATCTCCACTGAGGAGTTGAATTCACCATCAAAACTGTCGTTGTATGTTGTTCTGTTCAAGATGATAAATTCTGTGGAAATGCTGAATGACTTATTGACGAGGCGCTCTGTAATATTCTCCACTGACCACAGTAACCTAGAGCTGATACCTTCAGCGGTACTATTTGGCAAGGTGTTTCCTGAGTTGTCGTTCAGGGATTCCCAGGTATTCTGTGCAGCCTCCGTGGTAAGGATACCTACAGTAATGAGGATATTCTACATCGAAAAGAAAAAAGGTATTACATAAAATTATAACTAATGCATGTTGGGGGCTGTGTCAACTGATGGCTTTTTTAAAAAAAAAATTTTTGTGCCGGCAGCCCACAAACTCTTTTTCAGAGCGCTTCTCACCAGTATCTACTGTTGTTCTTCCTGCCACATTTCCGACTCCTTCAGCAGTGAATATTAAAAACTTAAAGACAGTCTACGTTTATAAATCATTTCATAGCACTGGTAACCCAAAAAATTGTACTTCCATCAAATGAGTATGATCACATTCTCCCCTGTATGGATCTCAACTGTTGAATTTGACAAATACATCGTCAGAAGTCCCACCTATCATGATTGTGATCGGTTGGTGATCAAGACATTACACGTACGAGTTTGACAGAGCTCCAAAATCTGAACTTTTTTTTTTTTTCAACTGAGACCACAGACACCAAAAAACAGGCACTGCCAGCACAAAAGAAAAACAGCGTTAGGCGACACAGCCCCTTGATGTGTAAAATTCAGCCGTATAATTCACATACCGTCATCTCAGGTTGACCAATTTCTATTGACGAATTGGCGACAGCAGCGAGTATTTCCACTGTGGCATTTATGTTCAATGATGAATTAAGCACTTCGTTAGTAAAGTCCTCAGTGACTTCCTTGAGTTCTTTCAAAAATCCTGGAAGTGTTATGGCACTTAAGAACTGCAACAGAAAAGAAAAAGAAAGCATTAACCTTGTCAGTATTTCTAAGATCAAAATAAGGTCAAAATCATGATGCTCATAGGCTCTGAATTTAGGGTGCACATGCCTTCTTTGTACTTTATATATTTTTTTCTATTTTGTGGGGAAAGAGAGAGGGGACATGCAAAGTACAAAACATAATGTCAGGGTAAGAAATGACTCCTGCAGTCAGCGTGATAGGTCTGCACCCTCTGTTTTTGGGACACGTTCTTGGACGGCTAGGCCAATTGCGTCTTGACATACCTTGGCTGTAAAGTTTATAGCGTCTCTATTTTATTGGAGCTTGTGCCTCAGTGCATTTGCCTCTGTGGCCCTCATAAGGATTCTGATAGAGAGTCTGTGTTTGATTGATGAAACAAATTGCTCTGAAAGTAATTCAATGATGCGATGATTTTAGAGCAGTCCCTGATAAGTAACTTGGTCTCAACTGTGGGCCTGGCCTGAGGCTTACAGGTTGCCATGATCGTCCAAAAAATGAGGATTTTTTTGGGTTCTACAGTAAACTAATTTACTTTCTTTTATTGTTTGATTTGAAAACTGTTTTATTTACTCAACGTTTAATGCTTTATCACCTTTATTATATTTTATTATGGTTTTATTGCTTTAGTCCTAGATCCAGTGTTTCCTCATTTCTTTTAACTTAAGATAGCGTTTCCTCAGTCATCTGTGGCATCTGTGTGTGGGTGCTGTATGTGTTGAATGGGGGTTGGGAGGGTGGGTGGGGTTTGGTATTTGTATTTTCATTTATTTTATTTCATTGTTTATAATATGTGTGAAAAGTGCTTTATAAATAAAGTGCGATTGATTGATGGATTTGAAAAAGTTTGGATTTGCTTGCAAGTTATGAACAGGAGTCCTTTCAGCTTCTCCAATGAGGAGTAGAGAGAGACATCGCCACACTTAGAGGCTCAGTGTTTAAATTGTGTAAGTCTCTCTACTAAGATAACCACATTGTTTGAGACAATACAAGTGTGTCTACAACTGTTCAAAAAAAGTGTTATTGTTGCCAAACGAAATTAAATTTATGTTGTATGTCACTGAAGAAGCACCGAGAAGCTGTCTTTGTTTCAGACCATGGTGAAGTAATGGTGCAGAATAATTTGAATAATGAATCTAAAACAACAAATTTAGATAAAACATTTACATGCCAGTCAAATATTGCTGGGGACAAATTTGGTCCCCAGTTTTGACTCTTTGTGCACATAAATTATTTTAAAAAATACTTAGAAGAAATTAGATTACATGTGTTGTTGTTTCTAGAACTTAAAAAGACACCCTAAATTTATAAATCTTGAACACTTCTCTAGTTCGTTGTTTCTTTTCGTCTCAGCCTGCTAAATTTGCTGCAGATCAGTAAACTGTCCACAATGAGAAATCAGGGCAACCACACCTAACATTGTGTTGTAACAGCAAGCTAATTCCTTACTGTAGAGTCACATTTACAGGTTTACCTCATTCATGTGTGTGTGATAGTTTCATTAAATGCCAACTACATACTTCATGAATTGTTTGTTGGTGCTGGGAAATGCACGCCCTTGCACTTTAGTTATTCTGGGAAGTGTGAATTGGGATTTAGTTAATTGGGTTGCATAACTTCTTATTACTGCAGTTCAAAGGATTGCAGTCCCACAGGTAGAGTTTTCACATTCAGCAAAAGTCTCAAAATAACCAGACCTCATTTAAGCGTAAGTATTACTTAAAATATTAGTAACTGAACTTCATTTTATTTTTTTTAATAATAAATCACCTTTGACTCCTCTAGCAGATTGTTAATTGGTTGTAGAATGCAGGTTTCTTCAACTACCAACCATTCACCAGTTTGCTGACACTCTGCTGTCTTTGTTCCGGTTTCATCAGGGTTACATGCGTTAGCTTCACTTCTGTTTCCAGGATTTCCCAAACCATATATAGTATCATTGCATTGAAATTGCACTGGGGAGAAAGAAAACTGTTATATCAAAGTAATCAGAAGTGTACGAGAAATATCTTATCTGAAACTGTTTTGATTTCCTGTAAAAACTACTTACCTTTTTCTGGGACTGACTCCACAGTTATGTTTCTTTCTTCCAAAAAATTTAACCTCTTATGGGTCACTCGACAAGTAAATATGAATATCACATTCTCGTTTTCACAGTTTGGGAGTTTATACGGAGATTCGACAGTTGTATCTGTGCCAAAACATACATACAAAAAAACCCATTAGTATCTGTACTTAAGATTTGCAAGCAGCTGATTAGCATTTGAAGTCTGTTAGCTTCTGGCTTACCATTCCATATCAACTCTGCCACGTAGTTGCGATCGACAGAGCAGGTCAGGTTTACATTGGAATTACATCGGGCTATCTGTCTATTATCTTAGGAGGCGCTTGTATATTAGGTCTCTCTTGGAGTTCGAATTTTGCAATGGCTTTCTGTCTAAAAATCTTTTGGCCCTCTTCAAACCTGCATTCATATATTCCTGTAAAGAAAGGGGAAAGAACGAATAAAGTTTAAATTGCAAGACACTGTGACATGATCCCACATCAGGTTAGGAGACAACCATATGCCTCGGCATCATGTACAAAATGTATGGATGCATCAGGTCTCTTGCCAGATTCCCTGTTGTCTACCAGACCCAAACAACATCCTGTCTGGAGCACACCTGACCTTGTTCAAGTGTCTGTGTACAATTAAACAAATACAGACTCTGAAACACTCCTGTGGAGGTGTGGCAATACTTTCTACAAACACCAATCACAGACTGCATTGAAATAGTTGATTTAGTAACTATGACAACATCTATTGGTATTTGACTCATTTCAAGTTAGTTGTACTCAAAGTCTAACTTATGGAGCCTCAGAATATATTTAAGAGCATTTGTGCAACTGCAAAGTATTGCTGTGGTGAAACTTTTTTCATATTTCTCTATGAATGGTTAACAGTGGGTTGATCAGTAATGCTGGGAACAGGCATTTCAAGCTGCTGGCCCAGGGGCCATTCCCAGCCCACGGTCCTCCTCCCTCTGGCCTGTCCCTGTTGTCAAAATGTAATGCTTTTTGGCCCACATGACTTTTTACGAGTTCCCCCCCCTCTCACAGTTTCCCTTTAAACCACACTGTGAGATTAATATATAGACAAATTTCCATAAACATGTAGGGCTCTATTTTTGTGCTGGCCAGCGGCACTGCGCAGGGTGCCGCGCGTATTTTAGTCCAGCGCAGCCTGGTGTACAGCCAGTTTGGTATTTTGGTAGCACCAAGATGTGCCAAACTGGGTGTGGCAGTGCAGTAGGGGGAGGTGTTGACAGAATCAGCTGGCGCAGTGATATTTTCGTGCCTGCCAGCGGCATCGAAAAGTGCACTGAAAGCTTGCAGATTCAAACCTGGTCTGCTGCCACTCTGCCAACGAATCATGAAAATTGAGCCTGTGATGATAACATCTATTTCACAGGTTACTTTTGTTTTTGAGGGACTGGACAGTCTCCGAACAATCTCAATACAGTAGTTTCCTACATCTGCTGCAATAAATTTAATCTGATACCTGTTTTGATCTTTACTTTTTACTTTCAAATATGTTTTACAGGAATAAAAATCAATCATTTCCCATTGTTTTTAACACGTCAGATTCTTACCGTTGACTCGTCCCAAAAAATGTTTTATCAATAACGTGAATGTTCCATTTTCCCGCTGCTGAACTGAATACAGACTATCGTTCTTTATTTCCTTATCCTTAACTCTCCACTTTGCCTGCACATCGTCTCCAAATCCGAGGCCTTCTAGGGGAGGATCACATGACAGAGTAGCATTTTCACCAGTGATCACTTCGAATGTCTTCAAATTTTCATCACCTTCGAAGAAAAAGTAAAAAAAGTAAAAGAAATCCATGTTAGATCAACTATACAAACGATGCACATGTATGTGATAACTTCAAGAATGAGAACGATTTTTAGAAATGGTCTTACTGTCAAATATGGTACGGTAAGTTTCTGAAGTCTTTAAAAATACCCCAGATTTTAAGGCTTTTATTTGATCATCCGGGAATTCAGTTGCTCTAACAGAATATTCGACAATGGTGCTCCCTCTCCTGTAAAACAGAATAAAACCAAAATGGCAATCAAATTGTGAGCAGGTAGACTGCAGTCTGTGTTATGTCTGACATGTTTGCCATCTGCACCGTAAACCAAGGTCAACCAGTCAAACTTTCAAGATGGTTTCTTGCGTGGTTGTATTATTAACCAAACATGACATGACATGAAATACTTTAGCAAAGACTACTGTGGTTAACCAGGGCCCCGATCAGAACTTAAAAACAAAACAAAGAATTCTTCCAAAGTCTAAGCTCAGAAAAAATCTGGAGTCTGCATCCAGATATAGAAAAGGAGACTTACATGATTTGGACTATATTTGCTCCTTGTAGACCTAAGATATGAGTTCGGCATTGTTCCTGAATCTGTTAAGAGATTCTCTGTGTTAGGGTTTTACTATTACATGAGGCTCAGATATAACATACATTCATTGATTCAAATTGTAATAAAACTGGATGACACAAACAGGAGACATATTTGGACTTACTGTTCTATTAGAGTTGATGTAAATTTCACTTGTTGGATCGTTGAACTTAGGATCATAGTCTTCTTCCAAGGTCAAGTTGAAGTTCCTCACTACAACATTAAGAACAGTCATACTGGGATGGGATGAAAATTCTCTTTCTTGCCCTTTTATTAATATGATCATGATCTTTTATAGTATGACATAGGGTACACAGGCAAGCCATCAATCTAGTCCCTGTCACTCTTAGGTACTAGATTGTTATCAGTATGCTCATTCATACAAGCTCACATTGTTTTATGTTTTTATTTATTTATTTATTTTTGTATATTAAATGCATAATTCCATTTATTGATGTTGTTGTGGTTGTTAGCATACCTGTACCAGTTTAGCCTCATTGCATACAAATTTCCATCCATTTGAATTTCTTAGATTTAACATAAACAGGCCAATAAACTCTTTGTGCAGCATATTTGTTAGTCAAATAGATATGAAAAAATTAAGTTAACTTAGTCACGCAGAAAAATGCTGTGTTACAAGGAGTGTTTTTTTGGCATGGATCATTTTTGTGACTAGCTCTCAATCAGCCCTTTGGTCACCCAGCAGCTCAAAAATGGCATTACTGTTACTATTACTCTATTATTTTTATTTCCGACAGTCCAAATATGTTGGCACAAGCACGGAAGACTCTCTATCTTAATCGTCTATCATGGCACTCCTGCCTCCTTCTCTCTGCAATGACTGTACCCATTTGTACGTAACGCTGTGCCAGTTTGCGTGCGCATTTCAAACATGCTACACTGAAAAAAGTGACTTTTTGGTGCAGTAAACTCCATTAGTGTAACTGTCATAATTTCTACCTTGCATTTTTTTTTTTTTTAACGTAATACATGAATTATGGGGGAAGAGTATGTTTTACTCAGGTTTCCGTATACTATTTAAATGTTTATTGGTTGTATGTACATAAACCTACAAATACATACATTTTACTCCGACAGTGTACTGTTTTGAAATGCATGCAAGACGCATGCACACTGTAGCCTACAACCATAGACTGTGTACACCATGGACAACTTGGTTCCGCCTCCCGCCTGAATACGGATTTGAAGCCAAAAAGCTCTCGGTATTTCCACCAGCGCTGCGCAGTAGCGTTGTGCGCATTCGACGGAAGAGTCGCTGTGATGACGCTCGGCTCAAACAGCATGTACCCGGGTGAGCTATGTAATCCCTGAACGCCAATAGGCTGTATCAGGTGTCAATCAAAGAAAACATGAACCCCCTAATAACTTTTAAAAATGGAGCTGTACAGGAAAAAAGAGGACTTGAGAACAAACCAGTCTTACTGTAACTACATGTCAACACCGCAAGCAGGGGGGAGAAAAGTTTATGTTCTGTGTAATAAATTTCTAAAGTTCGTCCACAGCTCCATAAGCTTTGCTGGTGGAGGCGGGATTTATGACCTATATTGCAGCCCATCAACAGAGGGTGCTGTTCTCGGAGTGGCTTCACCCAGCCAGGAGGCAGATGCTGTCCATTCTACATACAGTCTATGCATACAAATAAATTTATAATTAAATAATAAATTATGCCAAAATGTATTTTACTGAGTACTCTTGGTTTTTGCAATGTTTGTAAAAATCTCTGAAAGGATAGACAGGCTCACGTTTATTACAGTCGAAGTACTTACCTTCGACCGTGGTTGGAACACTTGTAGAAATTAGAACTGTTGTAGTTAGAACTGTTGTTGTATTTGATCCTGTTGTTGTGTTTGGAACACTTGTATTTAGAACGATTGTTGTGTTTGGAACTGTTGTTGTGTTTAGAACGGTTGCTGTATTTAGAACGATTGTTGTGTTTGGAACGATTGTTGTATTTGGAACTAGTGTTGTGTTTAGAACTGTTGTTATATTTGATACTGTTGTTGTTTTCCGCATCCCTGTATAAAAATATTTCAGAGAAAGATTAACAGAAATCTCTGGAAGGATAGACAGGCTCACGTTTTTTACAGTTGAAGTACTTACCTTCGACCGTGGTTGGAACTGTTGTGATTGGAACTGTTGTGACTGGAACTGTTGACGTTGTTGAAACTGTTGTGGATGGAACTGTTGACGTTGTTGAAACTGTTGTGGATGGAACTGTTGACGTAGTTGGAACTGTGGTGCTTGGAACTGTTGACGTTGTTGAAACTGTTGTGGATGGAACTGTTGACGTAGTTGGAACTGTGGTGCTTGGAACTGTTGACATAGTTGAAACTGTGGTGCTTGGAACTGTTGACGTTGTTGAAACTGTTGTGGATGGAACTGTTGACGTAGTTGGAACTGTGGTGCTTGGAACTGTTGACATAGTTGAAACTGTGGTGCTTGGAACTGTTGACGTTGTTGAAACTGTTGTGGATGGAACTGTTGACGTAGTTGGAACTGTGGTGCTTGGAACTGTTGACGTTGTTGAAACTGTGGTGCTTGGAACTGTTGTAGTTGAAACTGTTGTTGTAATTGATACTGTTGCTGTTGTCGGTATCCCTGTATAACAAATATTTTGAGAGAAAGATCAACAACTGAAGTTGACTTAATCATTAAAAAAAAAAAAGGAATTATGTGACTGACCAGTAGTTGTTGTTGGAGGTGGGCAATCAGAGATTTCTGCAAAGAAATATTGAGGATTTGATTGTATCAATGAACTTAACATTTAAATGAAGAAATCAGTCTGCATATTATATATTACTACAGTTAAACATTGTAATTCAGGTACTTTCCACTGATTTTCCATTGGCATTATCCTTATTATGCTGGTGATGAAGACACCATCATCAATATACCAGTTAATAGTACATACATTACATACTATTGTTACATTACAATAGTCACATTTGCAAGAATGAATGAAGGACCAAGATGCTTACCTGTGATTGGCTTACAGAACTCTCTCACAGGAATTCCATTTATACATGTGCAGGTTTGTTCGGTAGCATTGTTGCATCTTGTAAAATTGGTACACATGTCACATGACCATGCGTACTGCTCCTCACACTGACACTGAAACTGTGACTCTGGAGATGGGTCTCCAAAGCACACTGAAAAAGGGTTTGAAGAGATTAATAAAACTCTGAATCAACTGAGCAAATCACACCCACAAGAAGTTACACAAGATGATGTTCTTACCTGTGGTTAGAATGATGGCTTCTAGTTGTATGGACTGTTTGATGTTGAAGGGGAGTGTGAGGTTCCTCAGACTGTCTCTTAGATTAGAGATGTTAAAACTGGAGTCTGGGATGTCTAACTCGAGCACTACTTCAATGTCCAGTTCTGTGGAGAAATGATATCACATCTATCTCAGGACTGAAATAGTCTCCTAAAGCTGATGATGTTGTTGTGGTTGTTAGCATAGTTGAATTAATTGGAGCTGTAGTGGTCTCTGTTGCTGTTGTTGTAGCCTCTGTGAGTTCTTTGAGCCCCATTGCATATAAAATTTCCATCCGTTTGAGTAACTTGGACTTAACAAAAACAGGCTGATAAACTTGAAGTGCAGCATATTTGTCAGTCAAATGGAAATTAAACAATAAGGAAGTAGATTTATGTAACAATACCAATAAGCCAATTGTGTTTTGAAATAATGACGATTTATGTATTCATCATTGATAACTTCATCATTTGTTCTTGTCTTATGGAATCATTGTTTTGTTTGGAACTGTTGTTGTATTTGGAACTAGTGTTGTTTTGAGAACGGTTGTTGTTTTCCGCATCCCTGTATAAAAATATTTCAGAGAGAGATCAACAGAAATCTCTGGAGGGATAGACAGGCTCACGTTTTTTTCACAGTTAAAGTACTTACCTTCTAGCGTGGTTGGAACTGTTGTCATAGTAAGAGCTGTTGTGTTTGGAACTGTTGTTGTATTTAGAACGGTTGTTAAGTTGGGAACTGTTGTATTCTGAACTAGTGTTGTGTTTGGAACTAGTGTTGTGTTTGGAACTACTGTTGTGTTAAAAACTGCTGTTGTATTTGACCCTGTTGTTGTCGGCATCCCTGTAAAACAAATATTTTGAGAGAACGATCAAAAACAGAAGTTGACTTAATCATTAAAAAAAAAAAGCAATTATGTGACTGACCAGTAGTTGTTGTTGGAGGTGGACAATCAGAGATTTCTGCAAAGAAATATTGAGATTTGATTGTTACAAGAAACTTAACATTTAAATAAAAAAATCATTTTGCATATTGTATTTAACTACAGTTAAAGATTGTAATTCAGGTTCTTTCCACTGATTTTCCACCAGCATTACCCTTATTATGCTGGTGACGAGGACACCATCATCATTCTACCAGTTAATAGTACTGTCACATTTGCAAGAATGAATGAAGGACCAAGATGCTTACCTGTGATTGGCTTACAAAAGTCTTCTCCAGGATCTCCATTTATACATGTGCAGGTTTGTTCGGTAGCATTGTTGCATCTTGTAAAATTGGTACACATGTCACATGACCATGCGTACTGCTCCTCACACTGACACTGAAACTGTGACTCTGGAGATGGGTCTCCAAAGCACACTGAAAAAGGGTTTGAAGAGATTAATAAAACTCTGAATCAACTGAGCAAATCACACCCACAAGAAGTTACACAAGTTGATGTTCTTACCTGTGGTTAGAATGATGGCTTCTAGTTGTATGGACTGTTTGATGTTGAAGGGGAGTGTGAGGTTCCTCAGACTGTCTCTTAGATTAGAGATGTTAAAACTGGAGTCTGGGATGTCTAATTCGAGCACTACTTCAATTTCCAGTTCTGTGGAGAAATGATATCACATCTATCTCAGGACTGAAATAGTCTCCTAAAGCTGATGATGTTGTTGTGGTTGTTAGCATAGTTGAATTAATTGGAGCTGTAGTGGTCTCTGTTGCTGTTGTTGTAGCCTCTGTGAGTTCTTTGAGCCCCATTGCATATAAAATTTCCATCCGTTTGAGTAACTTGGACTTAACAAAAACAGGCTGATAAACTTGAAGTGCAGCATATTTGTCAGTCAAATGGAAATTAAACAATAAGGAAGTAGATTTATGTAACAATACCAATAAGCCAATTGTGTTTTGAAATAATGACGATTTATGTATTCATCATTGATAACTTCATCATTTGTTCTTGTCTTATGGAATCATTGTTTTGTTTGGAACTGTTGTTGTATTTGGAACTAGTGTTGTTTTGAGAACGGTTGTTGTTTTCCGCATCCCTGTATAAAAATATTTCAGAGAGAGATCAACAGAAATCTCTGGAGGGATAGACAGGCTCACGTTTTTTACAGTTAAAGTACTTACCTTCTAGCGTGGTTGGAACTGTTGTCATAGTAAGAGCTGTTGTGTTTGGAACTGTTGTTGTATTTAGAACGGTTGTTAAGTTGGGAACTGTTGTATTCTGAACTAGTGTTGTGTTTGGAACTAGTGTTGTGTTTGGAACTACTGTTGTGTTAAAAACTGTTGTTGTATTTGACCCTGTTGTTGTCGGCATCCCTGTAAAACAAATATTTTGAGAGAACGATCAAAAACAGAAGTTGACTTAATCATTAAAAAAAAAAAGCAATTATGTGACTGACCAGTAGTTGTTGTTGGAGGTGGACAATCAGAGATTTCTGCAAAGAAATATTGAGATTTGATTGTTACAAGAAACTTAACATTTAAATAAAAAAATCATTTTGCATATTGTATTTAACTACAGTTAAAGATTGTAATTCAGGTTCTTTCCACTGATTTTCCACCAGCATTACCCTTATTATGCTGGTGACGAGGACACCATCATCATTCTACCAGTTAATAGTACTGTCACATTTGCAAGAATGAATGAAGGACCAAGATGCTTACCTGTGATTGGCTTACAAAAGTCTTCTCCAGGATCTCCATTTATACATGTGCAGGTTTGTTCGGTAGCATTGTTGCATCTTGTAAAATTGGTACACATGTCACATGACCATGCGTACTGCTCCTCACACTGACACTGAAACTGTGACTCTGGAGATGGGTCTCCAAAGCACACTGAAAAAGGGTTTGAAGAGATTAATAAAACTCTGAATCAACTGAGCAAATCACACCCACAAGAAGTTACACAATTTGATGTTCTTACCTGTGGTTAGATCGATGGCTTCTAGTTGTATGGACTGATTGTTGACTGGGAGTTTGAGGTTCTTCAGACTGTTCCTGATGCTCTGGAACAAACTGAAGTCTGGGATGTTTAATTCAAGCACTACTTCAATGTCCAGTTCTGTGGAGAACATCACATTTATAAAACCTTATATTGATGTTGATGTGGCAGTGGTTGCTAGCATAGATGTACTGATTGGAGCTGTAGTGGTCCCCGATGTTTTCGGAGAACTTATTCTGCTTCAATACTTACATTTCATTTATATTACCAATCAACAACAGGGCAATGCATTTTATTGACTTAGCAAGGTCAATGGCAATTTTTAGAAACTCATGCACAGACCATTTATTCTCATATTCTAATTTTCATACCTTTAACTTGTGCTGTCAATGGTGTCAGTGTTGTTGGCACTGCAAAAGTCACAACACAAAATACACAAAAAGTTGAACACTTTTATCATTATTAAAAGACACTTCCCCCTCCTTGTATTCACCCTTATAAAACTGTGGTGTGGATGTTACTCATAGGCAGTCATTCTGAATGTAGTTGCTTAGAAATTGACAGCCTCAAATACTGAGGAAAGTGTGTCAGATCAGAAATGTGAGATAGCTTAAAACATCTTAAATTACCAAAAATGATTCAAACGGACACAACACTAGCAGATCTAGAAACCTTTTCAATTCTTATAGGGATTGTGATAAAAACACTGATCACATGTGAGGCACAATATCAGCAGAGAACATGTCCACAGGGGGTGCTAAAATCAATAGAAAACTTCCTTACAGGACCTTTAAATTCAAGTGTCTCCAACGCATATAACCAACAGTATAAATTTCTTAATAAGCATTTTTTTTCCCAAGAATGAACTCTGTGTTTCTCAAGAAAAACTCCACTCCTAAACTAGATTTTAACTCTTGTACCAAGGGGTCTTTAACACCAACTCTTTCTCATATCAGAGCTTGAAGAACTTGGACTGGAGGACTTATTCAAAGTTGCCATCTTTTCAAACAAAACCATAGTGTAGAGAAAGATTTTACCTGCGTGTATGCCTCAGATTCCATCCATCTGATGATAACAGTTCATTTGATTTGTGCAAAACATGAAAAATATCATCCTCTGTCTCAAATGATTCTTTGTAAGAACAATAATGAAAGTAGAAGGTGAGGCTGTTACCAAAGGCAGCAAAAACCACCAAAACACAGCATTTAGTTTGGGGTTTCAAAGAACTATCTGTCAACCAAACTACCTGATATAAACCTGAATACAACAAATTAACATTACTAACAAATGAGAGCCAAAAATTAATAAACTTGCTGAACTGTGTGTTTAAGGACCACTAAGACTACGGATAAAATTTAGCTATAGTGTAAAGTGTTTACATTGGTGCATAGTGCAAAATGCTGATTAGTGTGCATTGTCTCAATGAATCAACTTGATGAAGCAAAACAAACAAAACCCACTGGTTTTAGTTAGCTGCATACAAGCATATTTTACAGTAAGGATTTGTGTCTAATATGCAATATATCTAAATCCCTTCATCAGTCTTTTATATACTCTAAAAATAAAGAAGCCACAGAACTCTGTGCAATTTTGATATCATTATTCAGGGAACACCAACTAAACTATACAAGAAAAATCAAAGTATTCAGTTGTTTGGTAGATGAGAACAGCCATGGATTTTTCTTTATTTATGCACTGTAATCTCAGGATAATGATTTATTATTTCATTAAATGACATAACAAAGATCACGGTCTCATGATAACGACTTATTACCTCATTATCTCGACATCCCAAAGATAGTTTTCTTGTGATCGATTAATTACCTCTGCCAAGGAGGTTATGTTTTCGGTAGCATTGGTTTGTTTGTCTGTTATTTTTTTGAAGGATTCTTTATCATTGTGAGATAGGGCAAATTTTGGAATTTTTGCATTTAACTCTATAAAAATGGCCAGAGTCTTTAGTAAAAAATTACACAAATGGATCTTAATGAGTTTTATGAGCTGTCAAAGGTTGATCCAGTGATCCAGAACACACAAAAATAAGGGTGTCGTTGGAATATCCAATGCTGAAAGATAACCAATGGGCGGCACAGTGGTGTAGTGGTTAGCACTGTCGCCTCACAGCAAGAAGGTCCTAGGTTTGAATCTGGGTCAGGGCATTTCTTGTTTTAGGAACATTGTGAACAGTGAACATACCACTTTAAACACAAATAAAAGTTAATAAAAGACACGTAACAGTAAAAGTTTTGGTGTGAATCACAATATAAAGGGGGACATGAGCTGCTTGGCGGAGGTCTGCGCTCTCCGAGTGCTTTTCTAGTTCATGATGTGTCAGCTATTGTTACTGTTGTCTGATTCGCGCATGGCCGCTAATTGTTCCCCCGTTTAAAGTGTAATGCAAATGCACAAAGTGGAGCACGACGTCAGTGCTTTTCATTGAAAACGCAGATTACAAGAAAACGATCTTTGTTATGTCGAGATAACAAGACAATAAGTCATTATCATGAGATGACAATTCATGGCCATCCCCGTCTTACATACAATTGTGATATAATTTCCACCACACTTTTAAAATCAAAAAAGGACAAAAAACAGAATCAACATGAAATGTTTTGACTAATTATCTAATTAACTGAGTCACACTGAGTTGCCTCTGCAGTCGACGTAGGGCCTACCTGTTTGACTGCGGTTGGACTGGCATGACTGGCTCTCATTTGGAAGAGCAGTGATGCATCCACATGTGTCGCTAACAATGGGATCACAGACACCATATTTAAGGCAAACGTTTCGTGACCAAGCAAAGTTTTCCTGACATCTGCATTGGAATCCACTTGTATTCGTTGACGAACACACTTTGAGCAAGAAGTTGATCAAAGTTAACAATACAGCTACTGATAGTGTCAGAAATTGAAGTAACATAATGAAATATCTTGTACCTGTTGTGATCTCAATGCTGGTGATTTCAGCAGTATTGTTTATCATTACAGGGAAATTCAATGAGTTTAAAGCTGCTCGAAGACTCTCAAGGTCAGAGCCGTTAATGGTAATTTCCACTATAAAACTGGAGGGATTTAAACTTGCTGGGAAACATAAAACAGACATAATCAGCTGCTTTATCATCCTCGGTGGAATTTCTTCATAGACAAGAAAAAGACAGTTAAATCTTCAATATAAGGTCTGTTAAAGGCACAGCCATAAAAAAACGGCACCTCTTATAAGAATAATACACTTTGTTATCTGATCTGTTGATCAAAACGTGACTCACCGTCTCTTTTTTCTCTGACATGAGTGTGTGACGCTTTTGAACCCATTACTTCCTGGAAACAAAAAAGTCAAATTAATCATACAGTCAGGTCGCTAACCTCGCATACCATACACAATAATTTACATGTTAGGTGATAAGGCCAAATCACATCAGTAACCTCAAGTGCTATTATGGTCCATGTACATGGCAGCCAATGGATTTTGGCTTTCAAATGAAAAAACAAAAATCGGGAGATCAGCTGTTCCATGTATTATCCGTCCATTCAATGTAGTAAACAAAAAAACGAGCCAGTATTTTGTTTGTTTTTCTGTATAACCAAAAAATAAGAAATTAGTGTTTGTTTTCGCATTTTCTCTACAGCTCTGGTCTGGAGTTTGTGGTCCACGTTGTTGGCTACTTTGTTGTGCAATGCGCGTTTGCCAACAGTAGAAGTGCACCATGGGAAATGGGGACATCAATAACCCGAAAACGAAAAGTACATTTATTATTTTGTTTTTGTCTATTATTTTGTCTTGAACTGAAAATACAAAAACAAACACTAATCTTTCATTTTTTGGTTATATAGAAAAACAAATAAACAAAATATCGACTGATTTTTTTTTTCGTTTACTAGATTGAATGGAATAATTGAACGGACAGATAATACACAGACCTGAGCTGTCTCCTGACGACCAGTAAGGGATCAAGAGACAAAAAATGGAAAACAAACATTTTTCGGTTTTGATCATGAAGATCAAAGAATGAAAAAACAACTCAGTATTTGACTTTCTTTGATGTTAATGGAAATTTGAGGGTCAAAATACGTGCATGGAACTCTAGTGTTTTAAGTTCCATTCATATGTTTTGTTGTGACCCAGAAGCTGTCACTTGGAGCAAGACTTTGGAACAAGAACGTTGTCCCAGCCCAGATGGCTGCCATGTAGGCACATCGCTAAGCGGGCTGCCACAGCGTGCTGGTGTATCTAGTCTTCTATATATATATCTGTGCTGAAGAGAGCCAGTCTTGCTCCAAGTCACAACTTCTGGGTCACAAAAAAAAGTGAATAAAACTTGAAACACAAGATTTCTGCCCACATATTTTGACCATCAATTTTCGTTTAGGCCACATCACAGACAGTCAAATACTGAGTTGTTTTCTCATTATTCAATCTTTATGATAAAAACAAAAAACGGTTTGTTTTCTGCTTTTTGTCTACTGGTCATTGGGAGACAGCTTGTCTCCCGATTTTTGTTTCATTATTTGAAAACAAAAATCCTTTGGCCGCCAAGTACACGGACCTATTACATTCAAGTTTCAACTTACCTCAGGTTCTACATTCGAAGACCGTCTTTGTACCTGATCCTCCAAACAGTAGTATAAAAGTAGAAGGACAACCATGCATCCTCCTGCCTTTAGTAACTCCATTTAGACTAGAGAGAAAATGTAACCAACACAGTGATTTGTTATTATGCACTTGATCAAAAGAAATAAGCTTAGTTGGAAAGTCTCATAACCCAACCCTTTATTAAGATGGACAGGATATCCTCACACAAGGACACCCTGTAAGACTTTTGTCTGCCACACCCTTTGAATAACAGTTATTAAAAATCTGTTAATAAATGAGGATTATCAGGTTTAACAGTGACATTTATAGTAGCACAATAGCCTCAAACAGTGTCTGTGCAAGAGTTGTGTGAAGGTGGTCTCCAGGGTGTTACCTGAACTGCAAGTCTACGTAAGTAAGAAATTGTAAGGGGAGAGCCTGTGTGTACAAGGCGATTAGTTGAAGGAAGAATTTTGTGCATTGGTACTCAGCTGTCTCACTAATCCCCTGGCTGTGTTGAATTCTTGAGTCTGATTGGTTGGTTATTACTGCTGTGTACGCCACACTTCAAACAACATGACAAAATCACACATATTCTTCAATCCTATTATTTACAGAAGTTACAGCGCATCCATGTGAGGACTTCTCAATCTGAATTAAGAATTTGGGGTATATTTAAGTGTTACACAAGTGTTTATACAAGGAGTTTAACACTTTCAAATGGGAGGAATAGCTAACCGCCCACCAGCATTGAAAAGACGACAAAGAGTGGTCAAATAGCACAGAATGAACTGGATATGATAAAACACTCAAGGAGTCTCAAAGAACAGACACAAAGCAACAACAGACTGGATAAAAAATACATATTTTCAATTTGAATAAACGGTTTACTGCAGAAAATGTTTATTTCTTATCTAGCTTTTGGGAATTTTAACATAACTTGTGAACATAGAGCTTGGCAGTACTCACCAAAGCTTCTCTCTTAAAAAATTCTTATTTCTTCAATGCGACCAAATCATGTTTAGTATTATTTCAACCTGAACAGAGTTGATATTGAGATTTACTGCATTTATATCAAATAAAAAAAAAAAGCCATTAATTTACAGTTTAGGAAAGCAAATTACAATTACTTTATTTAATCTGTAGCTCACAAGGAGACAGCACTATAATCAGTTTTATTTACAATTTCAACACTTGCATTATCTTATCTACACAAAAGCATTATGAAAACTGCAGCTCCTTATGAGCTCACATTTTCTGATCAGTATCAGTGAACATGAGAAAAAAAAAGTTGATTTTCTAACCTTTAAAAGCAAAAGTGCTCAAGTTGCTTCTATAAGGACGACCTAAAAGTCTTAAAAATGCAGTTACTATAAAGACAATATTTTTTAAAAATCAGTTTTTCTATTGTATTCTGTTTAATGAGCCTCTTTTAAAAGATAATTAAACAGACTGCAAGTGAAAATACTGAGTCTCTAAGTTCGGGCTGCCTTAGCCATAACAAATCAGAGCCCTGTACTCTCTATACTATGAAGCATCTTTCCCTTGCAAACGCCTGAACACTTGGAAGGACATTAAGTTGAAAAGAAGAGTTTCTCAATTGACATATTAAAATTGTTTACCTTTAATGATCCCCTGGCTCCTGAAAAGCCCTCTTGCGCTGAAAAAACAATAATTTAACTGTACTTCCTCACAACAAACACAGACTAATAATCACACATTAGTCTGTGCCATTGCCAAGCCATTACTGCGGGACTTCCTGGAATACTTTCTCTGAGTCACACACCTGTCCGGCGAGTTAAGCAACATGATCCTTTGCATGAAATGAGATACACCTGTTGATGGAACAGATGAGCGCAGTTAAATACAGAGTTCAAAAAGTTTTTCTGCATCCAAAAGATGGCTATTAGTGAGCTTGGTTGGTGTTTTTAATGATCATGCCTGAATATTTTATTAAAAGATAAAGCTGATTTTTTTTCTTGTCGTTTGCAGATCACGTGCTAGGAGGCCCTGTTGTCCCCCAAATAAAACGGAAACTTGTGGTTACAAAAAATGCAAATTAATGTCATTTCTCAAATTGGCAGATAACCTTAAAAGTATGATATATAAGACATCTGCATGCCAAACTACTCCTTTAGTCCTCTTCCAGATAAAAAGATATGATTCCAGTAAAAATGATTCGACTGCTTGGCCAAAAGTTCAACTCTGTGATATCTCTTACTTCCTGATCAAATTCTTGGTTAGGTTATTGATTGATCTCAGACAGATAAAACCTCCACCCAGCAGATTTTTCAAACAGCCCTCATCAGTTGTCAGGTGTAAGAACCCAGCGTCACGATCTTACAGTTTTCACATTCTTCCTGCTATTGCCTGAGGTGTTATTACACATAACTGCTTTTGTTTTCCAAAGTGACACCTCTTTCTGGTGTATTGACGTCCTTCACTTCGTAAGTCATGCATTTCACCTCACAGCAGTTATCTGTTTGCAGGCAGAGGAAAAGACAAAGGCACACTAGATCACACGGAGAAAAAAGAAAATATGCATGTAAGAAAGGGGTTTGTTTGCAGAGCCCTAACCTATAAGATAAGATAAAAATTTTTAGTTCGAGCATCTGATTTAAAAAAAAATGTTCTGCATGATTAGCACGTTTTAACATTGAAATTTAAGTAAACTGCATGAAAATAGGTTGAGAAATGAGCAAGATATGATTTATTCTCCATGTACATCTAATGCCTTTAATGGGAAAGTTGCCCCCAGTAAGATGGCTGCCACATAGGCACTCAGCTTATGCTGTAACGCCCCCCTGAAGTCAGATACCCGACTCTGAAAGTCAGACGATCCTCACCAACCCCGACTCGACGACAAGGTCATAATCCAAGATGGCAGCGCAGTGCATCAACAGTAAAGAGTAACAGTGATGCTCTTGTAATGTATTATTTATTAGCACTTCTGTTTTGTTTTCGCGAAATTAACAAGCGGTATATGTTGTACTGCCCAACGTCTAAAGGTCCTTACACACCAGGAACGACACAAATATACGACGCAAAATTTTGACGCACCTGACGATACACATGCAATTTTGTGACTTTCTGGAGGTAAAAAAGATGCATCCCGGGTGGAAGCGAGAAGACTGACACAACACATTTTCATATCTTGTGTCAGTGTAGAGTTATAAGCAATCAAATAGAGAGTGTGAACATGTGACATGTTGCCCCACCGGGGGGTAAGTTGTCTCACTGCATGGGGTAAGATGTCTCGGTGGATTTTGCAGCTAATAAAAGTGAATACATGAAAGTGAACATCAAAGTCAGGCACAGAAAATGTTAATCATTGAGACAGAAAAAGTCACTGAACATAAAATATTACGCAACATGCTCTGGAGTTTGGAGAGCTGTCTGACTCTGTGTTTCAGCTGGGGTGAATGTTTTGCAGTACCGAGCCAAGGTGTGGTAGTTGACATTAAAGTCCTTTATTGTCCTCCTGATTGATTTATTAGCTAGGGTCACCTGCCTGATTGCCCTCAGCGTCACGTCAGGTACTGCACTGCCGTGTTCTATTTTTCTTTTGTAATTCCTGACCATATCTTCTTGCTTTCTCCTCTCCTTTAAATCACTCTTTTCTCTGTAAAATTCAAGTCAATATTTCAATATGACAACTGCTGATAAGCAGACTCTCTGGGCTCTATTTTTGTTCCCCGCCGGCGGCGTGGTGCAGGCGCGGCATAAGTCAGATCCACCACGC